GGCTTTAACCCCCAAACCAGTGACCTAAAGGATGCCCACTTGTTTCCAAGACTGGGTTTATGTGAGGTTTGGGTCAAACACAAGGCCACAGTGAAACTGCTGTGTGAAAGAGTTACTCTGTCATAGTGACGCCTAACACTGTTTATGGAAAACAGCTTGTGGTTGTTGTTGCGAAATGTTGCACAATGTGTTCTGAAGCCGAGATGATATTTGTGATTTAGGTTTTAGAAATATCTGCAAATCGGCTGCGCAGTGGCACAGTGGTTGGAGCTGTTGAGAAGGTCCTGGGTTCGCTTCCCGGCCTGGGATCTTTCTGCATGGAGTTAGCATGTTTTCCCTGTGCATGCGTGGGTTCTCTCCGGATACTCCGGCTTCCTCCCACAGTCCAAAAACATGACTGTTAGGTTGATTGGTCTGTCTAAATTGTCCTTGGGTGTGAGTGTGTGTGTGTGTGTGTGTGTGTGATAGTTTGTCCTGTGTGTCTCTGTGTTGCCCTGTGATGGACTGGCTCTCTGTCCAGGGTGTACCCCGCCTGATTGCCCGTTGACCGCTGGAGATAGGCACCAGCCCCCCCGCGACCCTACGTGGACTAGCGGGTTCAGACAATGGATGGATGGAAATATCTGCAAGTCATCATCTGTTTTTCCTCCTGCTGTCTGACAGCTTTCATTTACAATACGATTTAAGATAGTCGCTGACAGCTGCTCTTTCAGTGAGGTTTCTGCTCTGCCTTGCTGAGTGTGTGATGACATTCTGATGCAGAGCCGTGCTGGTTAATGTTCTGTCATCCTTAAGCTGGACCTGTCTTCAGCTTTTGAGTCAGTGGAACTGGTTCTGGTCATGAATGTCCGAATGAACCATCTCTGGGGCTTTGTCACAGACCTGCTCTTGGTCCAGTCCAGTCTGGTGTTCCCCAAGGTTCTATTTTAGTACCCTAGTTGTTTTTGTCGTATCTGCTCTTTTGTGGACTGGTTTAGTGGTGTTTTTAAGATATTTCTAATGATGTTCTGCTTTTCTTCTGCTTTCACCTCAATGATATCTCTAAGTTAATTTTTTTGTTCATCAGACTTTTCGACACCAAAATGAAGAAAAGCTTCAGTCACTTGTCTGTGCAACAGAAAGATTACTGTCGGAGAAGAGTCTTCTCTGGAGGGCTTTGCTAACTCTTCTGACAGGACCCCTGAGATTATCTTTGACATGTCCAGACTGCTGCTCTTATCAGCTTGGATGTTCTTCTAAAGTCAGCTCCTCTGTGCTTCGTCCTGAGCTAGAAAAAATAAACCATGCTGTTGTGTCATTGTGCCTGGTTTACTGCACATTTAACCGGTCTAGGACAGCAGTTACAGGTTAACGGCAGGCTTCTGACCAGATCATCCAACGTTGAAACTTACAACCCCATTAGTTGTCACACTGGTCTGTAAAATGTGTTCTCAACATTTGACCCATTCCCTGGGTTGGGGTGGTTTAGCCCTCCAACCCAGCCCTTAAATGCTGAGTGTAGATTGGGGAGGCATTGGGTCCCATGTTTTAAAGTCTTTGGTGTGACCCAACTGTGGATTTGAACCCACAATCTTCCAACCTTAGGGCACTCAACCGGGCCTATAGGAGGCAGGACCTTCTCTGTAGTAGTGATGTGTCGGTTGCGAACGAACCGGCGATAAGAGCCGGCTCTTTCAAGTGAACGACGGGAGCCGGCTCGTCATTGGGAGCCGTCCCCTCCCCTCCCCCCCTCCCCCTTTGCTTTGGTGAAAGCCACAGGCGATTGGTCAACATGTGTAACTGCGTGTCCAGACTGTCCACACACAGAGCAGTAGGGGCGGGGAAGAGGGAGGATCAGACTCAGACACACAGCAGAGCACATGCAGGTGGAGGGAGACGAGAGGGAATGAGGAGGAAAAAGGCGAGAGAGAGGAGAGGAGAGTGTGACGAAGACGGTGAGAAAATGAGCGCCAGCAGTCGGAAAGTGGAGATTTCTTAAAGTGTTCAGTTATTAAATCCATAGAAATGATAAATATTTGATATATAGCATTTTTTTACATTAGTAAATCATTTCACATATAGTTTAGCATTATTTTGCTTATAAATGAACTCTACGCAACAGAAAATCTGAGGAGCCACTTGGGAGCCGAAAGAGCCGGCTCTTTTTGGTGAGCTGAGCCAAAAGAACCGGCTCTCTAAAAAGAGCCGGAATTCCCATCACTACTCTGTATACACCCCAGGCAGGGGCGCTGTAAAGCGGTGAAAGATTAGGAAGATTCTAAGGGCCCACAGCTGTCAGGGGCCCAAAAAAGTTTCAAAGTTGAATAAAAAATAAATTAAGTTTAAAAATCACAAGTACTTTACTTTGCAGTATTTTTTCTCATTTAAGACATTAAACAAACAATCTTTTAGTCTTTATGAAATGTATATTTATTCAGAGGTCCCTGCTTTATTTTGACTAATTAATTTGAACCCCCCCCCCCCCCCCTCCTCCTAACGGCATAAAATGGTACAGTCCACCTGGCCGAGGGGTGCGTAGCAGGTGAGGTCAGCTCAGGTAGCAGTCAGACAGCAGAGTGCGCCAAGGCTGCAGTAAATATGTCTGCAAAAACAAAGTCTGGGTCACAGAAAAGGAAAGAAAGAAGGGAGAAAGAGGACAGGCAGAAGAGAGGGCATCAGTGTGACACACAGTTTTTCTCAAAGAAAGGTGGGTTTGGTTAGTGAGTGGTTAAATTCAACCTGTTTGCTAGCTCTGATATCCACAGTGAGAGGAACTATGTTTCATCTAATTATGGTAAATGGGTTGTCGTCCTTATCCCTACCAGAATCAGCAGCTGATGATATGTCAGCAGGTGTCCCCTCACAACCCAATGAACCTCAAGAAGGTGAGCAATGTAGCATGTTAGCTAGCAGCCTCAATTAAGGGGGTCTGTGGGAATCACTTAAGGCTCTCTTCTCTATCAGTACTATTACAAAGGAATATAAAAAGGCTATTTTTGGTGATAAACACGTTGTTTTTCCACATAAAGATAATTATATATATCAATCAGTAAAAATGTATAGATTGTTTTTGATGCTGGGCAGGTTGAAGCATTGCTATTTAGTCCGTCACTAAGTATGTCACTCAGGAGCATTATTAATTATATCACTGTAAATAATAAATCTTGCTGTGTACAATCAAGGCTGAATATATTTTTAGCAGTTTTTTTGTTGTTGAGAAAAATGGGATTCTAGAGACGTATACACGTATTCATGCAAAGTTGTCCAACTTTCAAATGTTATGTAACCCTAACTGACTCCTGTTTGAACTGTGTGCTTATTAATTTTGTGTCTATGATGAAGCCATGGAGACTTAATAAAGAAGTCACCTTGTGAGCAGTGAATCTTTAATTTTTGTCGGTCATACAGAAATACTTGATTTCAAGAGGAAAGACAGCTGAAAATGTAGTTATGTAAAGCTTTAACACAACATGGAAATTTAATTAGATATCCAAATTTGAATTTTATCATCAAATACATTTTTAGACTAAATAAACACATTTTAAGGGAGTAATAGGGAAAAGGAGATTAAGACCTTTCAGCTGGTGAAAATGATATGTAAATAAGTAAGAATGCATGTAGACCTACATAATTAAGCAAACTGAAACACTAATATGAAGTATATATATTATATTTTTTTCTCCCTTCGAATCTGGGAGGGTGGAACCCCAGCTCCAGCTATGGACGAGCCCTCAGGGGGCCCAACTTGATATTTTTTCATGGGGCCCAAAATCTCTGGCAGCCCCCCTGACCCCAGGACCTATTTTTGTTCAGACCAGAGGTCTGTGGACTTTATTTTAAGAGTCAGTTAAAATATTTAAAGTCTGTTTGTAATTCATCTGCCTGGTTAAGTCTTTAAATGTGTCTGCTCTACTGTGTGTGTGATCTTCTGTCAGCTTACTCTTCATGAGTTATTTGATGTGTGTTTGTAGAAAGTCCACTACAAAAGGATGTTAGGGTGTGGGGCTTCAAAGGCTGTCCCGACAACAGATGTAACAAAGCTCCTGGATTTTTTTTGTTTGGAGAAGTCAAAGTCAGACCTGAGACCAGGACAGGAATCCTGGAGCGCAGGATGGAAACCAGCAGAGCTATGAGAGGTTCGCTTACAGATGTGTCTCTGGGTCCGCGTTAAGCGGCAGAGCAACAGAATACGTGTCTGTAAATAACTCATTTAGAAGAATACCGTTGAACCTTTAGGAAGGCTGAGGAGGTCGTGGAACACGAGGGCTTGAGGAAGCCCCCAGAGGACATGCGCTGCTGAACTTTAGGAAAAGTTCATTCTGAAGACAATGAAGGTCTGCTGTGTGGAAGGTCAGAGGTCACCTGATGTCACGTAGCTGTTACAAATATCCGCTCCTCCTGGATTCACATGAACAGCTGCTTACTTAAAGGTTTTCCTGCTTAGGGATGGGAGGAGTTCTCCCTGCGATCCAAAATCATCTCAGAACACAAAAATAATCCTAAAAGTCTCTTCTTTACAATTGGTAATATTTTTAATCGTGACCCTGACCTTCTTCAGAATACGCCCTCAGATGCTCTCTGTGAGGAGTATGCAGCTCACTTTAGAGGGAAGGTCGACACCATCAGATGTGTAATTTTACCCTCCAAAGGCAGTATAGATTGTGATAAATATGAGTGTGTGTGCCTGCCTGAGGAAACACTGGACAGTTTGTCCTGGTTGAAGCCGAGAGTCTTGATAAAGTTTTCTCCTCAGTGAAGCCCACCACCAAGTCCCACTAGATTTTTTCAGCAATTTTCTGACTCTGTTAAGAGATTTTAACCCTGATGAACTGCTCCCTTCAGACGAGGTCTTTCCTGCCGCCTTTAAAGGGGCGGTGGTGAGACCCCTGTTGAAGAAGAGCAATGTAGATTTTAATGATTTAAACAACTTTCGACCGGTATCTAACTTCTTAGCAAAACTCTAGAGAAGCTGGTTTTAATCCAGATTCATGATTTTATTGACTCATGCAACGTCCTTTTACCTTACAAACCCTCGCGGCCTCTGCGCTCCTCTGGCAGCCGACTCCTTGTGATTGCAGAAGTCAGGACACATACCCATGGCGAGGCGTCCTTCCAGTTCTATGGCCCTCGTATCTGGAACAGGCTGCCAGAGGACCTCAGGGCTGTAGAGAATATTCGTGTTTTTAACCCTTTCACTTTCCGATCAGGTGACCCCGCCGGGACAGGGGGTGGTTAAACAGGGTTTAAAGTTCACGACTTGACTGCGGCGGCCTGGGCGCTCCTAGGGGTGTGCTTAGGCGATGGTTTCTGCCCTCCCTCCCTGGGTCGGTGCCTTGGCTGCTGCTGTTGATCAACTACTGCCAAGGCAGATGGCTAACCTGGTGGTGTGTCATTCAGCTCCTAACCCATCTGAACCAAGCCTAGTGTTTACTTAGGCTGTTTTTTAGGTTTTGTGTGTGTGACTGGCAAATGGGTTGTGAGATGGGGGGTGTAACTGTCACAGTTGTTTTTCTATGTGTGGGGAAGGGACGGCAATATGGGTTCTATTGGGTCATTTTAATCTGTTAAGCACTTTGAGCTGCATTTTCTTTTGTATGAAAAGTGCTGTACAAATAAAGTTTGATCGATTGATCCCACCCTCGGCCTTCACACACACGCACATTAACCCGAACCCCCGGTAGTCGGTCCTGATCCAGCAGGGCCAATCTAAAACTATACTCTCGAGTCGGAGTCAAAGTAGATGATGGTTGGAGCAGACTGCATGACCTGGACTCTAGCCCCTCCTGGTGGAGAGGTTTGGAACTGCACTTCCACTTCTGCACGTTTAGCTCAGAGCTGAAGAGGTTTTTGTTAGAAAAGTTCAGATTCTTTAGATCTAATGTTAAAAAAAGACGAGACATGAAAACAGTTTTCATGGAAAGGCTCCGTGTTCCAGACGTTCCGGTGAGCCGAGACACACATTTGTCTGTCTTTCAGTAAAGTCTCCTCAGACCTTAGATCAAAGGTCACATTTCTGAGAGGTCACATGTAGTTATAAAGATGACATTCATATAAAAAGCCATTTCCTGTTAGATGACCAGGAGGGTAAAGTAAATCTTTGTTTTTCCATGATCCGGCCAAATAGAAGCAAGGACCAAGGCGTTCCCAAGCGAGCGATCTGAATCTGCCCCAGGGGTCTCCTCCTGGTGGGATGTAACCAGAAATCCTCTAAGAGAAGGCGACCTGGAGGCGTCCTGCCGCCGTAGACACTTTTGGATGTCGAGAAGCAACGACTTAAAAGCATGGAACCAGATCCAGGATCTCCTTTCAGCCATGAGCTGGATGTCATGGTCCGGATGAGGGCTGGAACGTTGTTGGATCAGTAATTCCGTGAGTACAAAGCTGGATTCCACTTGTCCTCGTCTGCATCCTACTCAGGACCTCATTCCTGAACTCTGCTGGAGCATCATCAGCATCCCAGCTCCTTCAGGTCTATCTCCATGAACACAATAAAGCCTTTCTGCTGCCACCTACTGGAGCAGCGACCTTACTACAACAGAACAAAGACGCCGAGCAGTTATTTGTAAAATACATTTAATCCCTTTATACTTGGGCAAATCAACGTCTACAAGGATGAGACTGATGTGGCAGTGTGTCCTGAGTGGGCATCAGGGGCAGTAGCAGGAAGTGATGTCATCAGAGCGTGTTTCCCCTCAGCACTGCCACTAAATCAGCCCCCTCCCCCCTTCTCTGATGAACCAGGCAAAGAAATCATAATACAGAGAAAAGGCAGACATTCCTACAACCTTCATCATCTTCATGAGTACAACACACTGAAGCCACAGCACAGGGCAGGGCTCCAACCCCGTAGACTCTACCACTGCGCGCGCGCGCGCGTGTGTGTGTGTGTGTGTGTGTGTGTGTGTGTGTGTGTGTGTGTGTGTGTGTGTGTGTGTGTGTTCTGATGAGCCTACATGTGCCACTGACAGATGGGTTTCGGATTCGCTGGTGGCCACAGAACCAACCAGCTACTTTAACCCCCCATCAGGCTTGTTTGGACATAAACGATGGATGGAGCAGGTTAGAGGGCGGCAGAGCCAGGAAGGATGCTACAGCGGGTCGGGTAAGGCAGAACCGGACAGCAACAGGAACCCAGAAACTGGTCCTCTTGACCCTACCCATCCCCCTGAGCAGAAGACTAATCCTGTTCATCCAAACGGGCTCTACTGAGGCGACACCTCTGGAAGTCCCAGTAGCAGGGGTCAGCTGGAGGAACTGGGTCAGAACCCGACAGATCCAACAGTGGCGCATAAACCCACAAAGGTTCTAGAATGAAAGTTACCGTGGCAACCGGGGAGGAAGTAAACACGCATGAGTAGACACTTAAGTACAACAGACAGATTGTTACATGCTATATTCTTTGGCACCCAAGTTAGACATAGAACTCCAGATGAGAAGAGCAAACATGACTGGATGAGGTGGTGAGCGAGTGAAGGTGTCGGAGCTGGCAGCAGAACACAAACAAGTCAGCTGCTCTCTGAACTTCCTGTGGAACGTTCTGGTGGGATCCAGCTGTCCCTACGGGACGTGTCTCCCATGGAAGCACCTGCTCACTGACTACCAGCTTCTCAGATCATGCAGACGACACGGATACACAGATATGGGACAACATACGTGTGTGTGTGTGTGTGTGTGTGTGTGTGTGTGTGTGTGTGTGTGTGTGTGTGTGTGTGTGTGTGTGAGACCAACTCCTGTACTTCACTAGTACTGGTCACATGCGTCCATATCTGACTGAATATTCAGAACGACCGAGCGAGATTAATACGGGAACAGCTCATGTGAAACATGCTCAGGCAGATGAAGCTCCGCCCACAAACACTTATATACAGTTTATACATAAAACAATGACATAAATTCCAAAAACAATAGAGTAAAAAGCATGGTCAGAGGCAAGAAGGCAGTAAAAACCAGTCAGTCACTAAGGAATTACAGTACCTTTACTGCTGAGCGCACCGATGAGCATGATGCCTGATGTCACATCTACATATAAAGTTAGGATAGGGCTGGTTGAATACAACAGCATCTGTGACTAACAGAGTTCATTAACAGTGTAACAAAGGTTTTAGTTCATGATCCTAAAGAGCCGACTAGATCCAGCAAGCACTATATCTGATAACTTCATATAATAAAGGAGAGAGCAGCAGCTGAGCAGGCGTAGCCTTCCCTCCACGCCCCGCCTCTCAGTACACAGGGCTGTTCCGTATCCCACAGCACAGCACCATGCTGAAGATCATCTCAAAGATCTGCAGGGAGGAACAGCATCAGCATCAGGAGACACGCTTCATTACTCTTACCCTGCCCCCCCATCCAGGTAAAACGTAGAAGCACACACTAGAGTAGAGTGTGTGTGAGTGTGGACCAGGAAAGAGTCTGTAAACATCAGGAACTAATACACAATAATAATTATTATTGTTGTTAGAATAACATAAACAATGATGATTTGTATTATTGGTATAATAAAAATGTGAATTTCTACAGTGTTTTTCTAAAGGGCCCAGGTGAACCTCAGACAGAAAAATAACATTCTTCATCTTCCAAATACAAACTCACCATGATGATGGCCACCACCAGCGCGGCGATCTCAATCAAGTGAATGTTATCCGTGAACAGCGTATCGATCTTGCTGTGGCAGTTCTGCAGGTTAGAGCCGAGCAGAGGCGTCCCGTTAGCATCGCTACTTCAGACAGCCTCACCAGTCCCGGGTAGCAGGAACTGGTTCAGCACTGGTTCCACTGTTAGTTAAGACTAACACAACCAGTTCCACTGCTAGTTAAGACTAACACAACCAGTTCCACTGTTAGTTAAGACTAACACAACCGGTTCCACTGCTAGTTAAGGCTAACAACCAGTTCCACTGCTAGTTAAGACTAACACAACCAGTTCCATGGTTAGTTAAGACTAACACAACCAGTTCCACTGTTGGTTAAGACTAACACAACCAGTTCCACTGCTAGTTAAGACTAACACAACCAGTTCCATGGTTAGTTAAGACTAACACAACCAGTTCCACTGCTAGTTAAGACTAACACAACCGGTTCCACTGCTAGTTAAGACTAACACAACTGGTTCCACTGTTAGTTAAGACTAACACAACCGGTTCCATGGTTAGTTAAGACTAACACAACCGGTTCCACTGCTAGTTAAGGCTAACAACCAGTTCCACTGTTAGTTAAGACTAACACAACTGGTTCAACTGTTAGTTAAGACTAACAACCAGTTCCACTGCTAGTTAAGGCTAACAACCAGTTCCACTGTTAGTTAAGACTAACACAACTGGTTCAACTGTTAGTTAAGACTAACAACCAGTTCCACTGCTAGTTAAGGCTAACAACCAGTTCCACTGTTAGTTAAGACTAACACAACCGGTTCCATAGTTAGTTAAGACTAACAACCAGTTCCACTGTTAGTTAAGACTAACACAACCGGTTCCACTGCTAGTTAAGGCTAACAACCAGTTCCACTGCTAGTTAAGGCTAACAACCAGTTCCACTGCTAGTTAAGGCTAACAACCAGTTCCACTGTTAGTTAAGACTAACACAACCAGTTCCATGGTTAGTTAAGACTAACACAACCAGTTCAACTGTTAGTCAAGACTAACACAACCAGTTACACTGTGAGTTAAGACTAACACAACCAGTTACACAGTTAGTTAAGACTAACACAACCAGTTCCACTGCTAGTTAAGGATAACAACCAGTTCCACTGTTAGTTAAGACTAACACAACCAGTTCCATGGTTAGTTAAGACTAACACAACCAGTTCAACTGTTAGTCAAGACTAACACAACCAGTTACACTGTGAGTTAAGACTAACACAACCAGTTACACAGTTAGTTGAGACTAACACAACTGGTTCAACTGTTAGTTAAGACTAACAACCAGTTCCACTGCTAGTTAAGGCTAACAACCAGTTCCACTGTTAGTTAAGACTAACACAACCAGTTCCACTGCTAGTTAAGGCTAACAACCAGTTCCACTGTTAGTTAAGACTAACACAACCAGTTCCACTGCTAGTTAAGGCTAACAACCAGTTCCACTGTTAGTTAAGACTAACACAACCAGTTCCACTGCTAGTTAAGGCTAACCACCAGTTACACTGTTAGTTAAGACTAACACAACCAGTTCCATGGTTAGTTAAGACTAACACAACCAGTTCCATGGTTAGTTAAGATTAACACAACCAGTTCAACTGTTAGTTAAGACTAACTCAACCAGTTACACTGTTAGTTAAGACTAACACAACCAGTTCCATGGTTAGTTAAGACTAACACAACCAGTTACACTGTTAGTCAAGACTAACTCAACCAGTTACACTGTTAGTTAAGACTAACACAACCAGTTCCATGGTGAGTTAAGACTAACACAACCAGTTCAACTGTTAGTCAAGACTAACACAACCAGTTACACTGTGAGTTAAGACTAACACAACCAGTTATACAGTTAGTTGAGACCAACACAAACAGTTCCACTGTACTTCAAGACTAACACAACCAGTTATACTGTTAGTTAAGACTAACACAACTGGTTCAACTGTTAGTTAAGACTAACAACCAGTTCCACTGCTAGTTAAGGCTAACAACTGGTTCAACTGTTAGTTAAGACTAACAACCGGTTCCACTGCTAGTTAAGGCTAACAACCAGTTCCACTGTTAGTTAAGACTAACACAACCAGTTCCATGGTTAGTTAAGACTAACACAACCAGTTCCATGGTTAGTTAAGATTAACACAACCAGTTCAACTGTTAGTTAAGACTAACTCAACCAGTTCCATGGTTAGTTAAGATTAACACAACCAGTTCAACTGTTAGTTAAGACTAACAACCGGTTCCACTGCTAGTTAAGGCTAACAACCAGTTCCACTGTTAGTTAAGACTAACACAACCAGTTCCATGGTTAGTTAAGACTAACACAACCAGTTCCACTGTTAGTTAAGACTAACAACCAGTTCCACTGTTAGTTAAGACTAACACAACTGGTTCAACTGCTAGTTAAGACTAACAACCAGTTCCACTGCTAGTTAAGACTAACACAACCAGTTCCATGGTTAGTTAAGACTAACATAACTGGTTCAAATGTTAGTTAAGACTAACAACCAGTTCCACTGTTAGTTAAGACTAACAACCAGTTCCACTGTTAGTTAAGACTAACACAACTGGTTCAACAGTTAGTTAAGACTAGCATAACTGGTTCAAATGTTAGTTAAGACTAACACAACCATAGTTAACAGCCACCCTGCTGACTCATCTGCTGAGGAGGAGGAAGGAACTTACTACTGTTGTCCATTTCTCGGGGCAGATATCAGACGTCAGTTGTGTCAGAATTGAGGTCACCTGACCCTTACCACAGCAGTTCAGCTGAAACACAACAACCAGGGGATTAACAGGAAGTGGGTGTGATGTAATAATGGTGATGGGTCCTGGGTTAGCTCTGCACTCAGACTTTATTATTATTATTTCCTGTCCTACCGTCTCGTGGAAGACCTTGAGCACTTTGGCCACAGCGGTCTTTTTGTCCTGTTCCAGGGTCTTCACCATGGCCTGATCGTAGACGGAGTCGTAGAAGTTCTTCATCTCCTGGGAGACCTGAGAATGAAACCAGCCCTTACTGGTCTGTGTTCAGACAGAAACCAGATTTCTGTTTGGTTCTGAGCTGGCAGCCCAGTTCCAAATAACCAGAGAAGAACCAAACCTCAGAACACCACGCCTGACTTAAGTTAGAGAAACATTTGCTGGTTCTAGATTCTTGGAAAAAATGTTTGAACACCAAATGATGCTAAATGTTAGTGGTGGAAGAATAGCATCCATTATTATTATTATTACTTTCTTTATTATTATTAGGTAAGAAACCAGCATCCTAGCGAGGCTAGTCTTCAGTCTTCAGTATTTTTCCTTATTTTCACCCGTTTTAACCAACTGCTTTATCATGAACGTGACAAAGTAGCTCTCGAATGGTTGTTGGTGATGTCTTCAGGCCTCATTCGAGGACAATCTGTTGAGGACAAACTTGCTATTTCTGTTAGATGAAGAGGGCTAACATTCAATAAAGCAAATCCCATCTATTGTTTGTTCGTTTTCTTCTGCTTCTCCGGGTCCAGGTCAGCGGGGTCGCTCCCTTCTTCCCTCCCAGCAGAGACGAGATTCTCCTGCCACCAAACACGACACCCCCACACCACTGCTGTGCCCAGAAATTCTGTCCAAAAGGGTAATGAACAGAACCGGTGAGACAAGGTCCGACCCTAACTGGAACAGGTTCGGCTTACTGCCGGCTATGTGGACCAGGCTCATGCTCCTCTGGTACGTGGACTGAATGGCCCTTAGCAAAAGGCCATCCACCCCATACCCCAGCAGCACCCCTTGAGATGCCCAGGATGCATCTCATCCACCCCTGTGGCTCTGCTGTTGAGTAGTTGTTTGACTTACTTCATCAACTTCTGCTCCAGGGATTGGAAAGTTAATTCTCAGACCTCCCAGCTCTGGTTCCTCCTTGGAATGTGTGTCGGTGTGATTGAGTTGCTCCTCAAAGTATTCCTTCTACCACTCAACTATAGCCCCAGACGACGTCAGCAACCCCCATCCCCACTGAAAACTGTGTGCGAGTCGCTGCCTTCCCCTCTTAAGGACGGTTTGAGAGAATCGTCACCAAACTCCTCCCATGTCTGAGATTTTGCCTCGGTAACTGCCACTGCTGCGGCCTGTTTGGCCGTCCGGTACTTATGGCCTGCAGGTCTATTTTTCAGCCTGACAGCTCCCCTAACCAGTGGGTACGGGGTTACCACGACAACCAGCACCAGCAACCTTGCGACCACATCTAGCCACAGCTGCCTCAACAATCGCAGAGCTGAAGAGGGCCGATTCAGACTCATGTCCCCCGCTGCTCTCGGGAAGCGTCAAAGCTCTGCAGGAGGAGGGAGTTGAAGAAGGTCTTGACAGATTTGTATTATTGTGTTTTTTTCCTTTTCTTATCTATAAAATAACCAAATAAACTATGTTGATTGATTGACTGAATGACTGATTTGCCTGCCAGGCATTCCCAGTTAGGGTTGCAGGGGTAAACCGGTTTATTAACCCCGATGTGAAACGTTGAGGTTAACCCACCGTAAAGGCATCGCTAACACTTCAGATTTTAAAAGTAATTAGCGGACTAAAACAAAAGCGAAACTAAACGCACAGCAGAACCTGCGACAACAACCACCAGGACCGCTCCATTCCCACCTAGGAAGCACTTGAAGTCTCGTGTGAGGGACGTTTTTAGAAACGTCCACCTGCCGAGCCAACAGAAAGCAAGTTGCAACATCCTAACTTATCATCTCTGACATCATGAATAGGGTTGGGCATCGTTTGATTTTGAACGATTCCAATTCCTAGTTTTGATTCCCGATTCTGATTCTTTGAAGACCTGACATGCTTTACATGAGCCAGCTAACCACAGGTCCTACTAGATGAAATAATCTTAACTCCAACATGAATTTTAACTCTATGAACAACAACATCACCTTCATCTAGACACAAACATGTTTTGGAGACAAAAAGAAAAAGACTTGCAGCACAACCAGTGTGTTTGTTTCTGACCACAACCAAAGTCTGGAAGCAGCCTCTGGGATGAGAGGCTAAATGTCTCCAACATATCCAGAAACGTCCAGCTGTTTTCAGCTGAAGCTCTCAGGATGATCATGTCCAGGATGACTGAGAACCACACCTCCATGCTGCAGCAGCGTTCAGTCACAACAGGAAGTGAAACTTAAATGTAGCTGCTGTCAGTAACAAGCTAACAGATTTAAACATTAAAACTCTCAACAGAAATAGTTCAGAAAGGAAATTAAAATGTTATTTATTATTATTATTATTATACAAGTAAAACTCTCAACAGAAATAGTTCAGAAAGGTGATTAAAATGTTATTTATTATTATTATTATTATTATTTATTATGGTGGCAGAAGCTGGTGTGGTCCACCACAGAGAAGCTGCTCTAGCATGATGACTTTAATTATTCTACAGGTTACTGTTCAGCCTTCTGACACACACACACACGCACACACACACACACACACACACACGCACACACACACACACACACACACACACACACGCACACGCACACGCACACACACACACACGTGCTGACGCTCCGTGTGTGTTTTTATTTCTGCAGTGAGACAAACTCACCTCACACGTCCAGAGTTTGTTCTTTAAGCTTCTATTAAACCCACCGTGTTGACGTATTTAACACGTTTCCTCTACGCTGCAGGAGTTAACGTTTACGTTACGGAGTAAAGGTTCGGCAGACATGTTTGTTTATATCTGGGTGGGGGAGGGGGGACTCGTGCTGCACACAGACGGCTGGTGTGATCAGCTCTGAAAAGCATTGATCACAACTTGCAGATCACATTTATTTTTCATGGAAATCGGCCGCGGATTCCTCTTCCGTCGGCATTCTAGGAATCAAAATAAAAAAAGTTGAGCGATTCGAGAGTATGTTAGTGACTGAAGTGATATTAGAACAATCTGTGAGCGAGGGTTCATGTATTAAGTGTTATTCTACGTTTCCCCTGTGTTTGTCTAAAGCAAGCTGGTACGGCAAGCCATCTTAACAATTAATCAAGTACACCTCCCTATTCTATATAACAATAATATAATTAATTCGTGTCCAAATAATTATCCTAATGATGAAATTAAAGATGTAAACACAGGAAGAAATTATATTTCAGGATATTCACGTTAACAACTGCACTTGTAAGAGTGTAGCATCGTTTTCATTAAGGTGTCTCTCCATCCTTCAGCGATGACCCTCACCAGTTGTCAATTGTTAAACCTTTTTGTCTTTTTACAGAAACTCAAATAAATAAAGGCGTGGAACACTGAAAATCCATTTTTACTTTTGCTTTCTGATTATCGCTCATTCTGAGTATTCATGCAGGTTGAACATGAAAATAGTCTCCTACACCTACCTCCTGCATTAGCTTCTGATAGAAACTAGACGGTGAATCTCTAGGATTAGAAAAGCCTGACAGATCTACGTCACACTGGCACTTAACGTTCATGGGGAAGCCTGTTGTTGGTTTAACAGAGAACACCTCTGCTCGGTAGCGGTTTTAGGCACCGCCAGACCGGGCGGCTGCCCGGGGTGGCATTTTTTCATGACACAAAGGGGACGCACAACCGCGGAGTTAAAATAAATAAATAAATAAGAAACCTGCGCCGCAACATGGTTTATTGGAACCAGCACGCTGGCGCCCCCTGCAGCTGCTCCTGCTCACCGAGAGGGTTCAGGCGAGAGCTGTGTGTGAAGAAGGGAATAGGGAGGGGCGCGGGGGAATTCACCTCTGGGTCTCCCAAATGAAAGGGGGGTCTGAATCAGCTGAGATGACTGAAGCCAATCACACCTTGATGTTCTTCCATATAACGCACATTTAATTCATAATATTAAAATACAAGCTTATAATTCCTTCACGTTTTGGTGAATTGTGTGAAATGGCCAAAAAATAAATAAAGTCAAGGAAAAACAAAACGATTTTGTGGTCACCCACCAAGGTGAGTTGTTTTAGTCTTGACTCCTGGTTGTTGTTGACGACTGGCAACCTGTTTATTGAGTCAAGTGCCAAACCAGATGGACAGAAAAAGGCCAAAACCATCAGGTGCCCAGTTCAGGAAAAGAAGAATAGAAGAGGAGAAACGAGCTAAAGATAAAGGTAGCACGTTTCCATGCTAGGATGCATGTTTTGAGTTTTTTCTAAACCAGTTAACTGGGGATTTTAACAGTTAAATTTAGTCAACTCATTGCTAACGTTGATCATGATTCATGCTAGGGCTGGGCGATCATATGATCGCACTTTGTGATCACGATCATTTTCAGTTCAATTACGGTGATCATCTGGGAGTCTCGATCAGAAATAACAGATGTGTGCAGCCTCAGTAGGGGGCGCTAACACTCCATGCGCGTTGGTTGCCCACCGCCATTTAACAAAAAGAAGAAGCATTTGCAATTACACTTTTCCTGCTCCGCTACTTCGGTGAAGAGGTTTAATAAGGAGAATGGCCAAACGTGGAGCTGAAAACAGTGAGGTAGATCCCAGTCATGACTCGGAGTTGTCTTCTGGAGATGAAGACATTGTTCAAAAGAAAAGTTACTCAACGTCAGTTGTGTGGCGGTGGTTCGGGTATCTCAAAAGTGACGTTGAGCAAATCAAGCCGACATGCAAGGTATGTCGGCGATTGGTGCCTTCAAAAACTGGCAACACTAAGAATCTATTTAATCATCTAAAGAAATACCACCCAAGTGATTATACAGAGAGCGTGAAAATGCGAGCAGAGTCCAGACAACTTGTTAGCTTGTCTCAAAGTAGACTTAGCACTAGCGCGGCTGCTAGCAGTGGTCCAGCTGGCACTGGTGGTGCAGCTGCACAACCAAAACAGCAATCAATCATCTTGTCATTTTCAGCTGTTGCACCGTACGAGCAGAACTCAAAGAGAAGCAAAACCATCACAAAAGCTATAACTTTTTGTATAGCAAAAGACACGATGCCTCTGAACACAGTAGAGCAGGGGTGTCAAACATGCGGCCCGAGATGGATGTGTAAACTTTATTTTCATACTTCACAATGTAGAGTGAAAATAAACGTATCTTTGTGAGCAAGTTTCCTCTGTAATGAGTATAAATAAAACAAAGCTGCGCTCAAGGCTCACACAAGAACTTGAATCCCATCCTGAAGTTGGCCGCCACTCAGGATGGGATTCTTATATTGATGTTCTGGTGAAAGCTCAAAGATGTAAAGTAAAATGAGTCAAATATATTTTAACTGCTGCATGAAACTGATCTAGCCATGTGATCTGTAAGCTCTTTGAATCACTAAGCAATGTTTTTTTTTGTTTGTTGATTTTTTTTTTTTTTTTTCAAATTTTCAAGTACACTTCAGGTGTTGTACTTGTACTACACTGTCCTCAGGCTCCAGCCTTGTTTTATATTGGTTGTATTAAAACAAAGAAACAATCTGAAGGTTTTTTTTTTTATTTACCGGTCCGGCCCACTTGGGACTAGATTTCCGTCAATGTGGCCCCTGAGCTAAAATGAGTTTGACACCCCTGCATTAGAGAAAGAAGGACTTAAGCATTTAATCAAAGTGCTGGACCAAAGGTACGAAATACCTGGCCGAAAGTATTTTTCTCAAACTGCACTGCCACAGCTGTATGATGAATGCAGAGAAAAGCTAAAGATGGAGCTCAAAGATGTTTCATTCAGCAGATAATTTGTTTATTTTGTACCTGTATAGCATTAAAGACACACAGAATGTCAATAAAATGTTTAACTAATATCTAGTTTCTTTATTTTTACATTTTAAGCTGCTTTAAACTGACTATATAAAAATTAATCGTGATTAAAATAGAGATCGAACAATATGGAAAAATATATCATGATCATTCTTTTTGCCATATCGCCCAGGCCTAATTCATGCTCATAATGACTAAACTCTACAAGCAGAAAGGAAGTCCCAGTCCTCACCAACTGTCCTGTTATTAGCATTTCCAGTACTACTGAACATGTTAACGAAATACATTACTGGTCTACTGATCCTAGCACGCCAGCAAACTCATGCAGTCTCCAAATATGCGTGTGGACCTAGCGGTGTGTTTGGAAGAAGACTGAGCAAGGTCTCCACAGCTACAGGGCAAGTGGCTTTGTGGCAGCACAGATGGCAGCCAACGACGTGTGAGGAAATGAACGTGAAGCTGTTTAGAAACAGAAAAGGTTGAGGTCCACAAAGTGCCACGTTTCATATGAATCCCATGATGAGCCTTTCAGTGATGCCCTTAAACAGTTGGAGGTTGAATCCTTCAGTGTTGTTCTTGATGCAGCCACGTCAGCCAGCAGGGAGAGGTTTTCCACACTGGAAATTGTACAAAACACATTTGGGGTTTTGACCAGTTTTCCAAGCCTTGCAGATGAGGAGCTGACGGACCAATGTGAGGAACTGAGCACCACACTGCACTTGATGGGAACGCTGATTTGGACGGTAGAGAGCTTGTGCAAGAAATCAAGAACGTCCCTAACCTGCCACCAACGACCATAAGCCTCCTGGAGCTTATCACGTTCATCCATGATAAAGATCTAGCGGAGATCCACCCCAACTTATGGACTGCTCTCAGGCTTGCTCTCACTCTGCCTGTCACTGTGGCTCAAGCAGAGAGGAGCTTTTCAAAACTGAAGTTGATCAAGTCCTACCTGAGGTCAACCATGTCTCAGGAGCGACTCACTCACCTGGCCGTCATCAGTATCAGTCGCTCAGTAGGGGAGCAGACTTCATATGATGACGTTATAGATGACTTTGCATCAAGGAGGGCCAGGAAGGTTAGGCTCTAGTTAGTGTTTCTGCTCCAAGTGCAACGCTGCAGTGATTAGTTTTAGTGTTTTATGTGTGATGAAGGAATGTTGCTATTTAGAATATTTGTTATATATTCTGTTCATATATTATTCTTTATATTTTGTTATTGTTTATTTTTGTATATTTGATTCTATATACTTTTGATCCATTCATGTACATAATGTATATTGTTTTAAAGGGATGTCTCGCCCAAGGAGAACCGCCACTGTCTCTGCTAGTAGAAGCTAACCGTTAGCATTAGCAACTCCACCACCCAGCAGAACTCCTCCAGGCTTGTGTTATTTGTGGAGATAAAACATGAACGTTGCGAGTCAGTGGTTGAGTCATGTTGCTGTTATCCAGTCCGTGGTGAGATAGGGTGTGTGTTTCTAAATTATATATGTTCATGCGAATGTGAAATCAATTCATGTAAAATAATCATGCAACCATTATTATTTCTCAGACTAAAATGTATAATCATAGCAACCCTGCTCCCAACAAACCCTCACTCATGACCCTTTGCTTGTGACGTCACACCACTCGTGGGGCCACCCGCTTTGCCATGGCGGATGACTGTTTACAAACATTCAAACTCCAGCGAAGCTAGTCAGCACAAGCCCATTTGAAGCCTTTGATCTCTTTCATTTAATCAAATCAAATCAAATCACTTTTATTGTCACGTCACATGTGCAGGTACACTGGTACGGTACATGCGAGTGAAATTCTTGTGTGCGAGTTTCACAGCAACAGAGTTGTGCAAAAATACAATAATGTAAAAACAAGTAAAATATAAAAATGGCTAATCTAAGTAATAATATGTATAAGTTGTAATGTATTTACATTACTAAATGTTTATGCAAGTATATTATTATTATTTTTTAATATATTGTTCTACGTGTGTGCGTTGTTGATTTCACAGTAAAATGGTAACAGCTAGCTGCGCGGTTGGCTGCACTAACAGACAAGGACGTAGTCAACTCATTTCTTTTTTTCCAATTAACTATGAAGGAGACTACGGACGGGTATAACCTGCAGCGATCAATCAAACAGACTAGCAGCCCTCAAAGTGTCTTCGGATTTGCAGCGATGGTGTTCTTACCGGGTAAGACTAACATTCGTATACTTCATGAGGGAAACAGGGACAGGGGTAAATGTGATGCGTTTGATAATCCTAATGCATGGATGGATATTTCACCACAGATGAGGTGAAATGCGAGATCATTTTTTGCAATAACATTGTTCCGGTGTAGGATTACGTGTTAAAATTACGTTATTTTAGTCTGATGAGCGTCGACATTAGGAGATATCTTGCCTCTTCCTGGCGCGTGACAAGCATCTGAACCCAGTGACCCCGCCAGCAAAAACAACCACTTGAGATCTGGACTTTTTTTTTAAAATATATCGGCTCCAGTGAAAAGTGAAATGCTTTTTATCGCACAACGTTATAAATCCAGCGGAGCCAATTCTGGCAATGTTGGCAACTTGTTTTATTTCATGAGGAAGACGTGGACAGGGACAAATGTGATGCGTTTTGGATGGATGGATATTTCACCAAGGAGTACGCACGGTACCGTTCACTTTAGTGACACGCAAGATACTTATTTACATTACTATTACTCCACTGTAGGATTACGTGTGTTATAATTACGTTATTTATTTAGTACGAGCGTCGCCGTTAGGGGATCTTAGCTGAACTTGGTGACACCAGCAACAAAAACTAGGAGGGATCTTGGCTTCTGTTAAAATCAGCTTTGGTGTAAAGTGAAACAATCTTCATAACAAAAGCCCTTTTCAGACAGACATTCTGGAACATTTACGGACAATTCAATCCGGTTTTTAACCGGAACTGTGTTTTCAGACACACCACTTTTGTACCGGAACTTGTCCTTTCGGCTGCGTTCACACAGCAGGGAAAAGTTCCAGATGTCTGACGGCGGCGGGGGGGTGGGGGTAGAGAATCGGACTTATGTTAAGAAGAAGAAGAAGAAAATATCATTTCTATAGCGCCTCTCAAGATAAAAATCATGAGGCGCTGAAGCATAATTCTGCGCACACGAAGACGCATAAGAGACCTGGATGATGAAGCTCAATGGTTAAAGGAATCACTGAAGCGGTGTGAAGCGCTCCGTCGCGCGTCTAGGCGGTACCGTAGGAGGCGAGCTGCCGTGGTTCGCCGCATGCTACAGCAGCGGGCTATCTGGGTGCGCACAGCGTCCCCCGGTCCCCTCCTCCTCCCCCTCCCCCTTGTCCGGAACTTTACCTCACCAGTCTGAAGCAGCCACCCTGTCCGTAACAAGTCCGGACCTGTTACTAGGGGCTTCGTCCGGTAAAATTCCGGAACACGTTATCCGGATGTTTGTATTCAGACAGAAAGGTCTTACGGACAGAGTTCGGAACATTTCCGTTTTTCATGGCCTGTCTGAAGGGGGCTATAATGTTATAAAGCCAGAGGGGTGAATTTTGGCTAAGTCGGCAACTTGTTTACCGCGATAAACAGCCGCAGAGAGAAATTAAGCTAACGTTGGTAAGCTAGTTAATAACACTTAACTTTTGCATATACCGCTCTCTGTGATCCCCACCTAGGTGTGCTACTTCTTCTGGTAACTAAACCGGGCTTAAACTAGCAGAAGGAATGCTAAAAATGGCAAAAAACAAAAAACAATTTCAGGCTCCACTTATCTACTTATGCTTTGTGCAGTACTGGTGTTGCTCACTGTTTACATGATTTAGCCAACCAATATGGTAGACCCACGTGATTAGGTGACGTTGGTGCAAAGAGTCCATGCTTGGGCCTGCCAGGCACTCATGGGCCCCAACCCTTGGCCTGGTCCCAGGGCGGGACCCCGGTAACCCTCCGGGCCGGGTACTCTGGCTCTTTGGTTTAAAAATCACGAAGAGTCCTCTGAAACGCTCTTTGTCTGACTCCGATTGTGATTTACAATCATTGAAAATGTGTAATTCTTGTTATCTGTTTTAGTAAAAGTGTCAACACTGTTCAATTTAATCCTAAAGTAATAACATTATCTTTAGGTCAGACTTATCTCAAATAACTAAACATTATATATGAAATGAAATCAGAACTAATAAAAACGTGGGTGTGAGGAGCTCAGGCTGACCAGGTCATGACCTCGTGCAGGGACAGACAGGATCCACTCACCGTGTCTTTGTGCATGTAGCCCCAGACTCCAGCAGCAACTTCACAGGCAAACAGGATGACCAGGCAAACGAAGAACTGAGGAGAAACATATAGCATCCACGTTAGAGAAGCATACACGTTACCATCTCTAGTGGACAGCTGACTGAGCGTGACACTCACAGTTCCCAGCAAACACTGGGACTCCTGAATGGCGCCGTAGCATCCCAGAAACCCAACCACCATCATCACAGCACCGACGGCGATCAGGATGTGGACGCCTGGAAAGAGGACAGACGGACTGATTAGGACATACGAAAGATCAGACCATACCTAACACAACATGCCACCCAGCTCCTGGTGCAATCTACTGTCATCTCCCGCCTCCATTACTGCAACGCCCTTCTAACTGGTCTTCCAGGCTGGACTGTGAGACCTCTTCAAATGGTCCAGAACGCAGCGGCGCGTCTGGTCTTCAATCAGCCAAAAAGAGCACACGTCACCCCTCTGTTCATTGAGCTCCACTGGCTACCGCTAGCAGCACGCATCAAATTCAAATAGCTAACACTAGCATACAAAGTCCGAGATGGTACGGCTCCCATCTACCTGAATCCTCTTGCAAAGGCTTACGGCTCGGCCCGGCCGCTCCGGTCATCACAGGATGGTCGGCTAGCAGTGCCTACACCACGCTCAGGACAATCCAGACTCTTCTCATGCATCGTTCCACAAATGTGGAATGACCTTCCAAGCACTACCAGAACAGGAGCTTCCTTTTCTATTTTCAAGAAACTCCTGAAGACCCTGCTCTTCAGAGAGCATCTTCTAAACTAGCTCCTTCCCTGCACCCGTCCCCCTCTCTACTGTCCACTCCTTGTTCCCTCCTCTCCATGACTGATGTCACGTTGTTGTTGTTATTGTTGTTGATAGCCTCAAGGGCAACATGCCGATTATCACTTGTAAGTCGCTTTGGACAAAAGCGTCTGCTAAATACATAAACATACCGGAGAGCTCCGGCCCGGTGCAGTAGCACCCAACTGACAGCAGGTGGCGCCATTTGGGTCTGCTCTGGCTCTGAGGAGCAGCAACATCTTCTGACCTTATGACTGCTCCTCCTCTTCCTCCTACTCCCCCTGCTCCTCCCTCCTCCCTCCCGTCCTGATGAGCTGTTATTGAGGCCCAGCAGAAAGACGGCGGCTGTTCTGTGTTTTTTTTCCAGAGCTCTCCTCTGGTTTGACGGAGGTGAAGGTGTGAGTTCTGGATCTGTCTGTGCGGCAGAAGGAACGTCCTCCTAAACAACAGGAAGTCCCGGCTCTGCTCTCGCCGTACCAGGCTGGGATCCAGCCTGCATCGATACCCGACAGCTCAGACATAATTTAATTTCAGACCACTAAATGGTGCTGTGCTTTGTACGCCCTTCTCCCACATCCTCCTCTCTCAGAGCCACACAAGCACAAGTCATTTAAAAATCAATATGCTGGCAAGTGATTCATCCATCAGCTGTAATGCAGCTCAGCCGTCCATCTCTAATGCATTCTTTCATTCAAAATCACACTGAAAAGTTGTGCTCACTTCTGTGTTTTCCTGTCTGTCCTTATTTAATCTGCTGGGTTGTCCTCCATTAGGAAAGCAGCCGCTGCTCTCTGCTCTTGTTCTACGCCATCAGCAGCAAGATGACATCGGACTGAATGTTGCTCCAGGACAATGTCTGTAGCTCTGGTCTCAGTAGTCTTCAGTCAGAATGTTTAACAGTGACTTAGTGAACATCTCCCATGCAGCAGCTGCTTACACCCCTGTGGGATTAAAAACTGAAACCTCATCTCTCTGGAGACTTGGTGAGCTTCAGAGAGAATCATCTCCCTTCTCAGACGGTGCAGAAGACAGCAGAACCTAAAGAAGAGGAGACCAGCGAGCTAAGCTAGAAGATAAAACCCCAAAAGAGGAGCTGAGAATGTGAATGACTGCTGCTTAGACCTCTGTGGTGATGAAGAGCAGACAGTGTGTGGAGCAGAGGAGGACTGTGTGTTTGTTTAAACAGCAGCTGGTGCGTAAACTCCTCACTGCTCCTGATGCTAATGCTATGTTAGCCAGAGAAGCTACACAGTGCCAAACAGGAAACTTCGCAAGAGAAAAGGAAATGTTGGATTTGGTCTCCTCAAACATCTCACATAGAGGTCTGCCAGCCCTCACCTCCTACCTCTGTCCCTGAAGCCAGACACTGGCCCAGGGGACTGGATGTTCTCTGAGGTAACAGATGAAGAGAGACACACTCGGCCTTTCTGTTGTTTGTTTACGGAAGGTGATCCATCAGACCTACCATCACCCTAGCACCGAAGCAGAGCCCAGTTTGGGTGGTTCTGAGCCCCATCACCACCCAGAGGAACCAGAACAACCACACCAGGACCAGATGAACCACTAAGCAGCTCTAACAGGAGCTGATCTGAACTCCATCAGAGGGAGAAATCCCAGATGTAAAACAGAATGCTGCCATAGGTCATTCATCCCCTCTGCGGTTTACCTGGTACTGGCATCATCCTGGTACACAATAACATCGATGCAATATTCATCATGTGTTCAATACTTGTGCAATACTGGATTTACATAACATATCTGGTCCCTTACAGCATGTTGCATAGTTCTAGAACCCAAGTTCTGCATTTTTCATGTGTGGATTTCAGTGGTCGAAGGTTACAATACTAGCTTACTACCTTTGTGTTCATGTACCTTTGTTCTAATTATTCTCTTAAGTGTTGGTGCTGTGTAACAAGTGATTTTCCCCACTGTGGGATCAACAAAGTCTATTCTATTCATCAGCCACCATGTTACAGTGGGGCAAAAAAGTATTTAGTCAGCCACCGATTGTGCAAGTTCTCCCACTTAAAATGATGACAGGTCAGTAATTTACATCATAGGTACACTTCAACTGTGAGAGACAGAATGGGAAAAAAATCCATGAATTCACATGGCAGGATTTTTAAAGAATTTATTTGTAAATCAGGGTGGAAAATAAGTATTTGGTCAATAACAAAAATTCAACTCAATACTTTGTAACAAAACCTTTGTTGGCAATAACAGAGGTCAATCGATTACTATAGGTCTTTACCAGGTTTGCACACACAGTAGCTGGTATTTTGGCCCATTCCTCCATGCAGATCTTCTCGAGAGCAGTGATGTTTTGGGACTGTCGCCGAGCAACACGGACTTTCAACTCCCTCCACAGATTTTCTATGGGGTTGAGGTCTGGCTAGGCCACTCCAGGACCAGGACTTTTCAAATGCTTCTTACGGAGCCACTCCTTTGTTGCCCGGGCGGTGTGTTTGGGATCATTGTCGTGTTGGAAGACCCAGCCACGATTCATCTTCAAAGCTCTCACTGATGGAAGGAGGTTTTGGCTCAGAATCTCACGATACATGGCCCCATTCATTCTGTCCTTAACACGGATCAGTCGTCCTGTCCCCTTAGCAGAAAAACAGCCCCAAAGCATGATGTTCCCACCCCCATGCTTCACAGTAGGTATGGTGTTCTTGGGATGTAACTCAGTATTCTTCTTCCTCCAAACACGACGAGTTGAGTTTATACCAAAAAGTTCTACTTTGGTTTCATCTGACCACATGACATTCTCCCAATCCTCTGCTGTATCATCCATGTGCTCTCTGGCAAACTTCAGATGGGCCTGGACATGCACTGGCTTCAGCAGCGGAACACGTCTGGCACTGCAGGATTTGATTCCCTGCCGTTGTAGTGTGTTACTGATGGTGACCTTTGTTACTGTGGTCCCAGCTCTCTGCAGGTCATTCACCAGGTCCCCCCGTGTGGTTCTGGGATTCTTGCTCACCGTTCTCATGATCATTTTGACCCCACGGGATGAGATCTTGCGTGGAGCCCCAGATCGAGGGAGATTATCAGTGGTCTTGTATGTCTTCCATTTTCTGATAATTGCTCCCACAGTTGATTTTTTCACACCAAGCTGCTTCCCTATTGTAGATTCACTCTTCCCAGTCTGGTGCAGGTCTACAATTCTGTTCCTGGTGTCCTTCGAAAGCTCTTTGGTCTTGGCCATAGTGGAGTTTGGAGTCTGACTGTTTGAGGCTGTGGACAGGTGTCTTTTATACAGATAATGAGTTCAAACAGGTGCCATTAATACAGGTAACGAGTGGAGGACAGAAAAGCTTCTTAAAGAAGACGTTACAGGTCTGTGAAAGCCAGAGATTTTCCTTGTTTGAAGTGACCAAATACTTATTTTCCACCCTGATTTACAAATAAATTCTTTAAAAATCCTGCCATGTGAATTCATGGATTTTTTTTCACATTCTGTCTCTCACAGTTGAAGTGTACCTATGATGTAAATTACTGACCTCTGTCATCATTTTAAGTGGGAGAACTTGCACAATCGGTGGCTGACTAAATACTTTTTTGCCCCCCTGTAGTTTACTTCTCTATCGTCTGTCTGATACTACGAGCCCTGAAGACAGGAAATACTCAACCTGGTCTGGAGAAATAACTTTCTACACAACAAACTGAGGAAACGAGTCACACGGGAGTGAAGGATGAGTAAAGGCTCAACGCTTCTGAAGAAATGAGTCAAGTCAGGTCAACTTTATGTATAAAGCACTCTACAACAGCAAAAAAGCTGACCAAAGTGCTTAACAAGCTGAAATGAACAGAAGTTTCCTAAAATGCTAAAAATAAAATAGAAGTTCATCGAAAAGTAAAAACATGACAAAAACAAACATAACAAGCTGACATAAAAGCTACTAAAGCAGATGCATTCTCAAACTGAACTAAAAGCAACTGGGAACAGATGAGTCTTTAGAAGTGATTTAAAACCCGACGGTGAGGAAACCATCCTAATCTGGATTGGGAGTGCATTCCACAACCCCGGGGCTGCTACTGAGAAAGCTCCATCACCCCTGAGCTTTCTCTTCGTTCTCGGCACCTCCAGGAGAAACTGGTCAACTGACCTCAGTGACCGAGACGGGGAGTGAGTAACTAAAAGTCCGCACAGACACTGCGGAGCAAGGCCATGTACAGCTTTAAAAGCCAATAAAAGAACCTTGTACTGGACCCTAAAATCGACAGGCAGCCAGTGCAGCGAAGCTAAAATTGGGCTGATGAGCTCTGTTCCAGCTAACAGGTCTTAATTAGGCTGGTCCTGAAACCGGTCACAGCTGTTCGGACATTAACCGCTGCTTAGAACTAGCCTCAACACAAGCTAGCTATTAGCTCGCCTATCTGGTGAGAATGCATCTGTTTCTCCAAACTAAGGCTGATCAAACCCCAGTCC